AGTTGCATGGTGAAAAACAATGTATGACTGGTTTAAAGCTCCTCATGAGTAGTGTTTATATTCATTCAAAATTGTTCAGACAATATTCAAATATCATTCATGTGATTGATATTTGAATACCATGAATACAAACACTATAAAAAACAATATTGATCCTTGAAATTCTTGGTAATACCAATGTTCACTTTGTCTGGTTTTGTTGCAGTATGCCCCAATTTAGAGCATAACGGAAATTCTATTATGTCACACTAATTTGTGATATCTATGAATTTATATTGTACTACATTTAATTAAAATACTAATACTAATACTAATGGGCGTAAAAAAATGCTCTTCATAGGTAACGTGATTTCTGAACTTGTAAAAAAAAATTAATTTCTATCATTTTTTATTAAAAAATTTGTCTGCTTGTTTTAAACCAATAATAATAAAAATTTAAAATTGATAGTGCTGCCGGAATTAGAAATTAATGCCGATTTATTGGCCGAAATTCTCCAATTCCGCGTTGATCTATTTTTACGTATTATTTATTTATTTATTTATAATTTATTAGTAGAAACTAACAGATTTGCACTTAAAGCGATTTCGTATTTGAAGAGCTATTTCGAGATTAAATCATTGAATCCAATTACACAAAAAGTGTGAATTCATGATTAAATTGCTAAACGTTAATTAAAGTGCAATATTTGTAATTAGAGTGCTACTAATTAATTCAATTGTATATAAGAAGCTTGTACAATCAAACCTCGTTTCAACGAAGTGGCTGGACATATAAGAAAATTTCATTCAAAATTCGTTGGAACGAGATTACTAATCGCGCTTCAACAAATTTTTGTATGTTTTCATAATTTTAACAAAATTCGTTGAAACGCGAATTTAATTATAATTCGCTGGAACGAAGTTCGTTGAAATGAGGGTTTGACTGTATTTGAAAAATAATTGTTTTTGTGTGTTCAATAATAATTTAAAATCCGAAACTAAACCAAAACCGAACCGAAAATTGCTGTTTAAACCAAGCACTTCGGAGCTTTAAAACTAATACAACCTTCACAGAATCTATCAGAATATTTTATTGACTTACAATTATTGCATGCTTTTAGTTTTCCCCATTCATCCCTTGCATTAGTTAATTCAAACTCATAAATAAACTTTTCTTTCAGAAAGCTCCTCGTTTTTTTTTTACCAATGAAAAAAAAGAATCTTTTCTTCTCTTTCAGAACTAACTTAACATATGACATTATAAATAATGTTTTAAAATTTGACTTGGTGTTTTATTGAATAGAGCAGAAAAAACAAAATTTTTTTGAGAATAACATTAATCCGTTTATTAATTCAATTCTGAAAGGTTACACCTTTATCCCTTATATTGTAATAGGGAGGGATAAAACTTCAGCCCGGGAAAACGTAGATGAGGGTATTGGTTGGATAATTCATTCAAGATCGACGGACCAAGATATATCTGTCAGTGTATTTATATTTATCCCTCGCCAGGTTAAAGCTAGGGTCAGACCCGTCTGGAAATCGCCCGTGTTAGGTGCAATTCTTTATATTATTTCCTTTTGCAAAGGATTTATCGAATGGCATGTAACAAATAATTCTCTCGTAATATCATTGGGATGGTGACATTTAATAGTTACCTTTAAATTTTCTCTATCAGGATTAATTGATAGAATTATTTTAAAAAACAGCTTCAACATCAAAAAAAAAAATTTTTCATCATCATCAAACTTTAGTGATTGATTGATTCATTGCGATGCTAGTAATTCAGGTTTTATTTAGCATTATTTTTTTCCATTTATCAACTTTAAAACTTGCTTTTAGTATTAAATAAAATGTTTGATTCATGAATCCATTATATTAATTGATCGAATATTTGGGCTAGGATTCTTTGAATAGATGGGATATCTGAATTGAAAATAATAGTAATAGGATACCTGGACATTATTAGATTGTAATCATTGAAACGGATAAGTATTCAGATATCCACATTTTATCCGGATCCAGGCTCTAACTAGAGTGAATCACAGTGGTTTGTTTTCCAGTTCTACAAAATATCATGCATGCTTTCAGGACTTGTGAAGAAATTGTTATGGGAATTGAGGAAGTAAACTACTGATGAATATAGATAGATAAAACAAGCAGAATATGTTCATTGTATGACAAACTGTTTCATGTACAAAAGCCCTGGTAGTCTAACTATGTAAGAATGTAGATTGCCTGGTAATTATTTTTTTTATTTTTTTGAAATTCATTATATAGCTTTCTTTAATTACATTATTTTTGCAGTCATAATATAAAAAAGATCTTCTTGTCAATGAATTCTGCTGACTGTGCATTTCATCGTGTGACTATATAGCACAAATTTTGCAAAAAAAAATATTAACAAAGGATATGTAAACTTACTTGTTTAAGAAATAATACTGTAATGACATCATTTTTCACACGTAAAAATTACGAAATTATTTATAAAAAGCTAGATCAAGTTTATTGTTCCTATTATTTAAATTTTTTTTTTAATATAAATATAACAGAAAATTTTTTCAAAAAATAAATCAACAAAATGACAATAACTAGTCATAAAAAAAACATTGATGAAACATTATCAGGTGATGCATCTCAAATTTTATCATCATCAATATCAGGAGCATCTTCACTAGTTTTACTTCAACTTGTCAGTAGATTATCAACATTTATTTTGAATCAAATAGTATTACGATATACTGATCCTGCAACATTTGGAATTGCTTCAGTGCAACTTGAATTATTGCTTGCTACTATATTATTTTTATCACGTGAAGGTTTTAGATGTGCTTTATTAAGAGTTGGTGGTGGTGACGATAGCGAAATAATTGATAATGATGACAATGAAAAAGAAACTGGAAAATCCGGTGATTTAAAAAAAATAATTGCAAATTCGAATAAAGGAGCTATTCAAAAGGTCACTAATCTTTCTTATATTCCTATTCCTATTGGAATAATCACATCATTTATGGCATGTCTATTTTACATTTACTATGCAACTGAGGAGACCAAGGAAGCTCCTTATTATGTTACATCTGTAATTTTATATGGTTTATCCGCATTTGGTGAACTCATTATTGAACCTCTTTACATACTTGCTATGAATAAATTGATTTTTAAACTTCGGGTCGGTTGTGAAGGGGTTGGCGTGATTGTTCGTTGTATCATTACACTTTCTTTGACAATATTGGGAGCCCCAGATGATAAAGAAAAAGCACAGAATGAATATGGAATTTTGGCATTTGCAATTGCACAGTTTGCATTTACTCTAGTATTAATAATAGGATATATTGGCTATTTTATATATAGTGGTGAGATTAAATTATTGGTACCAAGAAAGATTATAGATCAAAGGTATGAATAAATAAAGATCAATTTATATAAATAAAAAAAAGTTGTTTTATTTATTCAAGCAACTGACAATAATAAATTGAAAATTTTTTCATTCAAACTTTAGACAAAAAAAAGAATATTGGTTTGATGAACATTTTTTTAATCTTTCAAAAACTTTTACAAAACAATCGTTATTAAAACATGTTTTGACTGAAGGTGATAAAATGTTAATTACATGGTTAAGTAATCCTAATGATCAAGGAATTTATGCGATTGTAGTAAATTATGGTAAATTTCTGAATTTAACTATATAGAAAATCGTGAAGAAAGAAAGGTGGATTTTGTATGTTTAAAAATATTTATTATTATTATGTTAACTTTAAGATATAATTTAACATTTAGGATCTTTGATTGTAAGAATTTTGTTTCAACCTGTTGAAGAAACTGGTAGAACTTTATTTTCGAAACTACTCAGCGTCTCCGGTGATGATGATGATGATATTAAAAATAAAAGATCTATAAAAAATTACAAAATATTTTATGCATTAGATATTTTACTTATAATAATCAAATTTCATATTTTCCTTGGACTTTTTTTCATTGGATTTGCAACAAATTATACTGGAACTTTAATTGATTTATTAATTGGCTCTTCATGGTCAAATTTATCTACACCACTTGTATTGTCTGTATATTGTTTATATATCCCTATAATGGGAATTAATGGAATTACAGAAGCATTTGTGGCAGCTGTAGCGACAGAAGAGACACTTAAAATATTGAATTATTGGTTGATATTATTTTCTGCTGGATTTGTTGGTGCTGGAATATTTTTTATGAAGATTCTTTCAACAGGAGCTGTTGGATTAATTTTTGCAAATATGTTTAATCTTTCAATACGTATCATATGGAGTTGGAATTTTATTAGAAATTATTTTTTAAATAAATGTGAATCAAATGAAGAAAAAAATTTAATTCAACAAAAGTTATCAATCTTTAATATTTTACCAAATTCATCTGTAATATTATCTTTTATAATAAGCTGGTTCATAACATATTTATCAAACTTATACATTGGATGGGACACTTTTGAGGCCAAAATCAAACATATTAGTGTTGGTCTTACTTTTATGAATGTTGTTATTGGAATAATGTATCCTTTTTTTAACATTAACATCAATTCTTTATAATATTGATTGACTGATTGATTGATTACACCTTAACATACATACATCTTTTTGTGTATATTAGATACTTGAAAGAAAAGAAATATATAGAAGATGTATTGAAACTTGCTGATGTAAAAAGAAAAGGATCATTAAAAATTGAATAATTCAATTTTTTACATTAATAAGCAACTAATATTGGTGAAATAAAATTTATGATCAATTAATAGATTTTAAATAAAAAATCTTTGTCTATATTTAAGCAAAATTAAAAAAGGTAGAACAACAATAATGATAAAAATAGTATGGTGCAAGTCACCTAGTCCTACAAGTTTCTGCGCCATACTGCCACTTTTGAGACTTTACATGCAGCCCAAAGTATTTTGACACTTTCATAAAGGGGTGTTACACTTATGTTTTTAATAGTGAGTGCCGTAATTAATTTCTACTTTCCACCATCAAAATTGGAATAATTTTGACCATCGAAATCACCAAACCAATTTGGGCTGCATGTATATTTGACCAAAAGTGCAATAAAAAATTGTTTTTCATGTGATATTTCCTAATTTCATAATAATAAATTGTAAATCAGCAATAATAATATATATACACCATTTGTTTGTTACTAGTTAAATTGATATTAACAATAGGAATGAAATGTATTTCCATGAAATATATTTTTGGTGCTAGGTGGGAGATAGCAAGTGTCTGTTTTGCACATTTCTTTGGTCAACGCAATAGTTATTTATTAAATTTGAAATAAACCAACTTAGCCGTTTGTTGTATTTTTAAAATTATCTTTCCATTCATCTGGGCAATTCATATGATAAAAGATCTGCAATATAAGGAAAAAATTCAATTTTTTATTTTGTTTCATTAACTTTCTTGTGTGTAATGCGCTAATTTTAAAGCTGAATATAGTAAATTCGGTAAACTTGTGCAACTTTGAGGCTCAAATCCTCCGCAACAACATGACGCATCAATAAAATGAATAGTAGCATTGTAAAGAAAGGCCTTAGCTTCAAAAACACGATTTATTTTTTGGTGTTACATTTCCATTTTTGGAGGATTTGAAGACTCTACACTACCAATAAAAAGTTGCGGGACAAAGTGACTTCACTATTACTATACAACATTTACCTGTTTAGTTATTTTCATCATATGGAGTATTTATTTATTTTACATAATGTGATATCTTTTGTATTATCAGGAATGTTAATTTTTTCTCAATGGCCTCTTTTAAATGTCCAATAGTCATGCTGGAGTTAGTATCAATATCAATTGGGAAGGAAGATCTTCGTATACGAGACACCAAAGTGTCTTAACCTCTTGACTTTTTTTTTAAATTATTTCTTTCTTCCTTTTGGGAAGACTCACAAGAGATTACTGAATCAAATGACGGTAGATATTTATTTTTTATTATTTTAATTAAATGATTTATAGTAATATTCTTTTTATATATTATTTAGGTTGCAATTTCAATACACTTTATCTAATAATAACGAACCTTTGGGCTGGGCTAAAAAAAGGAAATTTGTAGATCATCATATGGATGTTTGTGGAATATCTTTGTCATATTGGAGAGAAGGTATTAGTATTTCAATTCGTCGATTTTTACACTGGATCGACATATAGATTTTATCTACTTCTATCACGTATCACGAATTAAGAGATAAAAAGAAAATTTCTTAAACTCGGAGGTGAAATATTTTCATCAGTAGGTTGTAAATCAGATCTTAATGCTTATATTATTGCACAATTTTAAATGAGAACAAAGAAGTTGCTTGTTACCCAGGAATAGTTAATTATTATTTTAAGCATTCTGTAAAGCTTCCTTGGGGGGATAACAGAACATACTCTTTGTTATATTAGTTGATTTAAACCACTTAAAGAGAGAGATTGGTTCCATATAGAATCGGAATTACAGGAAGATACTTGTTAAAAAATGTATAATGTGGAACCTTGGGACAGTTAGATAAAAACATTAACTTTAGAAAGCGTTTTTCCAGTACAAAGAATTTTTAGTAAATTGTAAAAGGAAGTTATACTCTTCCTGGACATAAAATTCCTTTTATTGTAGTAATCCTTTAAATAGAAAGTTTAATCTTTAATAAAAATGAATTATTGTTATATATATGCGTTATAATTAAATAGTACGTTTTGCTATATTAATATTTTTAATCAATAATAATAACGATTTTATTATAAAAAGTACCTACTAAAAAAATGCTTAGAAATATCTAAAAAATCTTTATTTTTTATATAAAAAAATGTCTATTGAAAAATATTTAGGGATTTCTCATAAGAAAATTTCTAATATAAAAAATAAAAGATTTTCTAAAGGTTTATTTATAAAAAATGTCCATCAAAAAATATTTAAGAAATTCATCAAATTTCTTAGATATTTCTTATAAAAAAATTTCCAAAAAATTTACCTTTTGTACCCGTGCTTCCTCCTCCTTGTTATCAACATTTACGCCAAATCAAAAAAATCGATTCAATATTCCACGTTTAACATCCTATGACATTCTAAATTATAAAGAACCACCAAAGTCATGCACAATGTTAGTCAGAGATTTTATTGATGATTCATTATACAATCCGAATTATGGATATTTTTCAAAAAACGTTGCAATTTTCTCAACTCCAGATGATGATGTTGTTAAATTTAATGAAATAAAAGACAATTTGGAATTTTTAAATGTTGTTGGTAAACTGTATCAAGAATTCGAAAATAATTTAGAGAAAGAAGATAAACAATTTCTTAAACAAATTTGGCATACCCCTACTGAATTATTCAAGGTAATTAATTAATTAAAATTAAAAAAAAATATATATCATAATTATTAACTCTTTTTCTCATATATTTATTTTTTCCTTTTATATATGATTTCTTTGTATATAGCCATGGTATGGCTACTCAATAGCAAAATATATAGCAACAGAATATAATCTAAATCCTCAAAATGACTTAATAATTTATGAATTAGGAGCTGGTAATGGAACATTAATGTTAAATATATTGGATTATTTACAGAAATTTGAACCAGCAATTTATAAAAAAACTAAATATAGAGTTGTGGAAATCAGTCATAGATTGGCTGCTGAAATGCAAAAAAATAAAAATAATAAAAATCAAAAAGTGGGTTTTCTTGGTGGTAGTAGTGGAAGAGATGCAGCAGCAAAAACATTAAATAATCATCATGATTGTATAGAGATTATTAATAAAAATATTTTTGATTGGTGTGAAGTTGTTAATGAAAATTGTTTTTTCTTGGCTTGTGAAGTGTTGGTATGTATAATAATAAAATTAGAATCATTTGATTTGATTTGATTTGCAACTAAACTAATTTTCAAATTTTCTTAAAAAATAAAACTTTATAGGATAATTTTGCTCATGATGTAATTAGATACGATGCAGTTAATGAGAAACCATTACAAGGTGTAGTGGTAATAGACAATGAGGGAGATTTTGAAGAAGTTTATGAACCAATTAATGATCCATTAATCAGTAAACTCCTCTCAATAAGGAATCAAACTTCTTACAAGTCACCAGTATTACAAAACCGTCTATTAAGAAAACTTCGTAACACATTACCATTTGCCTATAATATGACACAATCAGAATTCATACAAACAAAACTATTACAATTCCTAATTGTATTAAAGCATTATTTTCCAAAGCATCGATTAATCATATCAGATTTTTACAAGTTAACAAATTCAATTTCACAACAAGGTGGTGGTGGAATAGGAGATAATGCACCAGTTGTTCAAACAAGATTTCAACAAACCATGATTCCATGTTCAACTTATTTGGTTAAACCCGGATATTTTGATATTATTTTCCCAATAAATTTTGAACTGTTAAAAGATTTGTATCAATTAATGTTTTTTTCATCAAAGTCATCATTGGATGAAAAAGTTAAAATCTTGACACATAAAAATTTTATGGAGAGATATGCAGATTTAAACAAAACTAAAACTTCAAGTGGAGAAAATCCTTTATTGTTGTATTATGAAAATGTTAAATTTTTATTGACATGAATCTAATAATATTGTTATATAGTTATTTATTGATTTGTTGTAATCTTGTAAATAAGATTATTATAACAAAAAAAAAAATGATAAATTTTGAATTTCTTGTTCAAATTCTTCTAATAAAATGATCTTTTTTATTATTCATGAGATTCAAATTGTTTTCATAATAATTATGATGCTTAAATAACAACAAGGGCCACTGTTGCATATGTATGTCTAAATCATTGAAGCATTTTAACATTTTGTGAAATTATATATTAGAAAAAGTTTCCCAATAATGAATTAGTAATATGATTTGATATATCTTAAAATAAAGCCTTTGTCTATCTCAATCCAGTAATCTTCATATGGAAACCTTTCTTTTATATTCCAACAAATAGAATAAAATATCCTCTGATTAATTCATCTGTCTCTTTTAATTTCATGATGACTACAGTTTGTTCAATGTTAAACCAAAAACCGATCTTGAAGACCCACATAAGATTAATTCATAATTAATTGTGACGGATTTGAAATATTGGTTGAAGTATGTCCTTGGAGAACGTGGTGAAAATGTAAAAAATAAATTAGTTTGTGTGATAAACATTTTATTAATGTAATTAATAAAAACAAGTGATTGTTATATATATGTGTATAATTTGAAGTGTATAATAATGCACAATGCTTTTTAGGTATAAATAATAATTACAATTATGTATAAATGCTATTATAAATAAACAAAAGGAAGGGAAAAGTAGGAAAACTACCGGGCTTATGTGCAATGATTGTAGAAAATAATTTCCCAAGCCAATTATAATCAAGAATTTAAAGTTGGTAGTTCACTCAGATATTTGTACTGTGACAAACGCGTCTAATATTCACTGGTCAGAATTTTTAATTTTGACAAATAAATGAAGGAAATTGGTTCATTTTACAAATTTAGAAAACATTCGTTAAAGGGAATTAATTGATATTTAATATCCAATTGATAGTTCATCGTTTATTGAACAAATTCTTTTGTATAACAGTATGAAATTTATTTAAACATGTAAAGATATGTATAATATCTTGTAGAATTTTATTACTTTTATTACTTGGATTGACGAAAATGATACTGTTGTTTCTTATGTTTGACGTGATCTACATTTTATTGTTGCGAGTGACAGAGCAAGGGAGAAAAGAGATTCTAATGATGCACATTTGGGGCATACTGCAATAAAATGAACATTTTAATTTGTATGGTGCGGGTCACCCTAACACATCAAATAACTTTAAATCTAAATAGGGAATATTAAATGCTTGTCTGAAAAAAAAATAGAGATGATATTTGATAGCTATTGACTAGTTCTAGAACCTATTGTCGAGAAAATTTTATATGTGATATATAAAAACACTTATCTAGCTTTAAAGTTGATCAATTTTTATTTAAAGTGTTAGTGTGACTCACATACTACCAAGAATTTCAGGGTTCAAATGAATTTCATTCTAATATAAATTTCTCATTATTATGTGCAATGTTGTAGTTTCAAATTATTTACATGTTTATATGTCATTAAACAATACAATTGTATCAACCAATAAACCTATCAATTTATATCCAACATTCTGTCATAATTATGAATTTTCTTTATGAAATAGTTATGTTTCTGGATCCTAAATCAAGACTAATCTGATTTGTTCAAAGAAATGTTTTCCTTTTTGCATGTGAGTCTGTATATATAAAATTATTTAAAGCAAAATCTATATATTCTAATGTTACTCTAAAAGATGACTATTCTAATATAAATTTCATTGTTATGTAATATCTTATATACTAAAGTTTATTTAAGTTCATTTACATATTTATATAATTTTTAATTTTTAAATTTAAATCAGAATTTTCCATTAAACTGGAATCAGGATGATGCAAATGACTGCATTTTCTACCAAAATCATTGAGTATCATTTTCAATAACTTTCCATGCCTTCAAATGTCAATTGGTAGTTACTCATGCTATTAAATATTCCATATAGGACCTTTTTTGCTCTATTTCTCTTCTACAACTTTTTACATGTGAGCAATCTAATGGTTTCCAGCACAGAGGTAGATAGGTAGATTGGTTGAAATGTACCAAGCCTTTAATTTTATAATTTTCATATGCCTCGTCATCAACATACTCTCCATACTCTCATTGTCGTCTACGATCTAAGTTGATAAATTTTCCCGTTTGTTTCACAGAAGTTTGATTATAATTGGATATGTGATAAATACTTGATAAAAGATGTGACATTTATAAAAAAACTTTTTTTCATCATTTTAAATGAAAAAGAGGTATGTATTATTGAACTTTATTTATTCATTGTTCTCAGTTAGTTTGTTCTATTAATTATTTAATCCTTTACTGTTCTAAATATTCATTCGTTATTAATTCTAGATCTCTCTGATTTAGTTTTTTTTTTGAAATGGCACAAGTACAAGCTGTTCAAACTTATGGTCGTAAGGTTTGTAGTAATAATTGATACAGTAACATCAAATAATTTAATTAAAATTTATTAAATTATAAAATTTCTAATTCATCCTTCATAACCTTCATCATCATCATCATTATTTCATTTGTTTTTAGAGAACTGCAACTGCAGTGGCACATTGTAAAGCCGGCAAAGGTTTAATCAAGATCAATGGATCACCATTACATTTAGTTGAACCAGAAATTTTGAGATTCAAAGTCTATGAACCAATTCTAATCCTAGGTCAAGATAAATTTGCTAAAGTTGATATTAGAGTACGTGTAAAAGGTGGTGGTCATACCTCGCAAATCTATGCAATTCGTCAAGCTATTGCAAAGTCTATTGTAGCCTATTATCAAAAGTATGTTGACGAGGCTCAAAAAAAAGAGATTAAAAATACTTTGATTCAGTATGACAGAAGCTTGTTGGTATCTGATCCTCGTCGTTGTGAACCTAAAAAGTTTGGTGGTGTTGGTGCTCGTGCAAGGTTTGTATTATGTTTTATGATGATTTCTAAATCATCACGCACATACACATGTGTATCTATATTATTTTTATATTAATTTATAATATCTTTTTTTTTTAGATACCAAAAATCTTACCGTAAATATATTATAATTGTTATTGTTATTATTATTTTCTAAATATTAACTAATATTTTTTTTCTTTCCCCACTACAAATAGGTTAATTTTTATATTTTATTATGATAAGGAATTAATCATAGAATTAAAAATCAAAATAATAACAATAATAATATTTATAAATTAATATCTACATATATAAATTATTTTTTGTTATAATTATTAATTCAAAGTGAATTTCATTATAGCCAACCAAAAATATATATGTTGTCACGTGAAGCCTATTGATAACTGGATAATCCGTTATTGCTTGATCAATCATTGCCTTTTTCAATATGTACAAGTAAATATTATTCTCAAATCAACAATACCATTTTTTAATCTGTGCTTCATGTGATGTTTTGCCTAACTTTATTTTTCATCAATACAACGAGATTAAGATATCTTTTTTTGATATATGTACCATGTATGATTTCATCCAAAACCGTGGAAAATTTAGTCGTAAAAGCATATAAAAGTTGAATTGGTTCTTTCGCGCCTCAAATGTTTAAATTATTGTAAATTTTTCCTTCACAGTCTTCACTTTATCAGATTAATACTTTTTACAGATGATTAAGTTTGACAGGTTCTTTTGATAATCAGTTTTAACTTGATAGTTTGGATTTGGCAGATTTAGTGACGGTGGCCGAAACTACCTTACTTGGTGGGCCGAAATTGCCGAAATTAATTGGCCTAAACTTGGGCGAAACTTATAGCTGAAATGGGCGAAATTTTTTGTAGATTGATTTAAATACTTATTATTATAAAAACATTGGGCTACCATAGTATTGGGCGAAACTACCTTTTTTCAAAAATAGTTTCGGCCATCATCGCTAGACATATTCTTATCGGTTTTAGATTTCTCTGCCTTTTTTTTTGCTCAATGGTTTAGGTTTGAAGGTTCGCCAGTTTTAGATTTTATCTTGTTCTTTTTATCATTTTTATCATTTTTCTTTGGTTTTCAACATCTGTAAGATCTGTCTCCTTTAATCATATATGTATTAATGATCTCCACACACGAAGATGAAGGTAGTATGGTTTTTATTCCATTACGAAACCATTAAAAACGATCTTGTCAATTTGAAGAGAATCTGGCATACTTACATTAGTTGATCCAACATTCTTGTACATTATTTCATTTAACAATATTGTAAATATTTTATAAATAAATAAATATTGATTATTAACTCTTCTAATAAATATACAGATTATAGAACCATCTCTCATTGCATGAAGCTGATAACGAAGCCAACACTTTAGATTCTTTCCGGCCCACTCCTCCGGTTCTTCAGATTGTTCAGTCTCTTCATAAAGTGCTATTGGATTCATAAATTCTGACCACTAATTTTATTTATATTTATAGATAAAAGTTCTATCTTAATCTTTTTGCTTAATGAAGAAGATTCAGTTCCGTCTGTTTCAGAAGACTTGTTTTTATCGTTACTTGATGATGCAAATTATTTTAGCCATTTCGCTTGATGGTGAAGTTTAATTTGTCTTTTATGATATCAGAAGAAGAATTGTAAGAAGTAGTGATAGGAATTAGGCCTTGCATTTTACAATTTTTTTCGCAAATGTTGATGAGTATGATTTTGATGATGATGAATTATCCTTAATTTTTTCCAAAAAATTTAATTTTTTTTTTCAATAATACTTCTTTCCCGATTCAGCATCAAGGCCTCAGCACGAGCAGGCATGGAAGGTTTCAATCTGGATACTTTGGCTTAGCTTTTTTCTTCTTTTACTGCTCCCAACAACATCTTGCAGGTAATTTTATAAAACTCCAGCATGTGGTATTAATTTTGCACTAATAACTTAAAGTTGACTACGATATTCAGACAAATTTATAATTTGATTACAAAGTTGAGAAAATAAATCATCTTTAAAATTTCTGAATCCATTGATACTCCTGCTGTCTCATTTACTTGTCTAAATCTTCAGGTGAATTGTGCATACAGACAAAATCCAATTACCTTGACAACTTTTGCATAGACTAGATTCTCCTACGCATTTCTGAAATACTGTACCATTATTTTACTCTCATGCCCATATGTATTTACCAATTTATCTGATTCTTCTAATAAACCACCAGAATGAATAATCAACTTTATCTAGTCATGTCATGAGATTGAATGAGAAGTCCTAGTAAGATTGCATATAGTAATTCTTTTGAAGTTATTCACGCAGTCCACGTTAAAGATTTATCCGAACAACTTGAATTCCTAATTTTATACTTACTTCAGTAGTATCTGCTACTGCCACCACATTTGCCTAAAAACTTTGATAGATAATCAGTTAATTTCCTTCAACAACCGATTCCATTGAAGTTACTGGTTCTGCCATGCTTTGAAATTTATGGATGTTCTCGACAGTAATTCTGTCATAAATCAATCGACATTTTTTGTGTTTATTTAATTTTTAAAAGAAAAATAAAGTTATTTTGGACGTACAATTTTTATAAAAATAAAGTCAAATAATGATACTGTCGTAGTCAATCAATCTAATGCCACATCCAAAGTGAATATAACTAATATTAAACTACTTACTACCACTAATACACGAATTAAAATTTTTTCATAATACTAATAAAAAAATTGCACCAACGCCCAAGAAATTTGTGGGTGGTTTCCCAATTTCAATTTGTTAATATTAATAAGATAATCCTTTTAACCCAACCTTTGTCACAAATCCCCAAAGTTCTATAGACAAACTACTTCTGCAACTAGTCAAATCCATACTATTACTAAGAGGCCAAAAATTAAAAATGAAAAGACAATGCTTCAATGTCCATCATGATTTCAAATGTTTTAATTAAATTAAACTCGACTAGTTATGAGTTATAATAATAGAATGTCAAACTTTGTATCAAACTGTTACTGATCTATCTATATAGTTTCGGGCAAAATCAATCAATTACATTGTGTGACAACACGAGTATTTTTTGTCGACTAGCCTTTGGTTTTGCCGATCATTTTTCCAACACTGTAGTAGATAGATGACAATGAATTGGTAATTGCGAGTTAGTTTGATCGGCAAAAATCTAAAGAAAAAAATGAATTATTTTCAAATTTTTAAGCCTTCTTTTATTAATAATAATATTATATTCAATAAGAATTTTTTTTTAAAAAAAGAATCTGTAAAAGTTTTTTTATCAAACAAGTTGTTGTTCAATAATAATAATTTTAATAATAATAATAATTGCTTTCTAATTTCCAAAAATTATGCAACTGAAGCTATAGCTAATGTGGAAATCCCCCCTTTAAAGAAAGTTCCAAGTAAAGAAGTTGCATTCACAACTGATAAATATCCAACTTTACAAAGAAATCCAAATTTTAACCAAGTAGAATAAATAAAATATTTTATGATAAAACTAAATTTTATTTTATTTTTTATTTTAAAAAACTCATCATCATCATTATTGTTAATGATATATAGCTTTCTTCAGAGGATATTTTGTTTTTCAAGTCAATATTACCTTCTAATAGTCTAATCATTGATAATGGAAATAATTCTGATGATCTAGCACCTTATAACTTAGATTGGATGAAAAAATATAGAGGAAAGTCTTGTTTAGTGGTTAAACCTAAAACAACACAACAAGTTTCCCAATTGTTAAAATATTGTAATGAAAAAAAGTTGGCTGTTGTACCTCAAGGCGGTAATACAGGGCTTGTTGGTAAAGATTTTTTACATCTTGGAATTATATAATAAATATTACAAAAAAATGATATGATAAAATGCTGTATTTGTTATGATTAGGTGGTGGTGTTCCAGTTTTTGATGAAATTATTATAAATACTAGTAATCTAAATCAAATAAAAAGTTTTGATTCTATTTCTGGTAAGCATTAAAATTAACATTATTATTGTCATTTAATTCTGACTCTAAAATTACTCTTGTTCATATATTATTGTTGTCATAAAGGGGTTCTTACATGTGATTCTGGCTGTATCCTAGAGGTCCTTGATAATTATTTGGCTGAACAAGGTTTTATGATGCCATTAGATTTGGGTGCAAAAGGAAGTTGTCATATTGGTGGTAATGTTGCAACAAATGCTGGTGGATTAAGACTTTTACGATATGGATCTTTGCATGGCAGTGTACTAGGATTAGAAATTGTACATGTTAAAATAAGTTTATATTTCGTTTATATTTTATAATTTAGCTTTTTTAATTTAAAAAAGAAAATTTCCTTGACAATTAGGTACTTCCAGATGGGACAATTTTAGATAACCTTTCTACTCTTCGTAAAGACAATACTGGTAAACTTTCTTTTTTCTTATATATATTCATAAATATTATTTATCAAAATATCAAATAATTCATTTATATTTGTTAAAATTTTATAAGGTTATGATCTAAAACAAATCTTTATTGGGTCAGAAGGTACTCTTGGAATAATTACTGGTGTGTCTATCTTAACACCTCAGCGTCCTAAAGTAGGCAGCATTTATTGGTGTTTTACACTCTTGGATTTTCTTTTAAATATCCATTTATTTTTTTTTAATTAATTAAATATAGGCTGTTAATGTTGCAATATTCGGATTGAATTCATTTGAAAATGTTCAAAAGGCATTTATTAAATCAAAGCAAGAGTTATCAGAAATTCTTTCTGGTATGTTATATATTTATATGGTGCATATTGATTAAAATAATAATCTATTGAACTTTAAACAAAAACTTAAAAAAATAATTTTTTTGAATTTTAGCTTTTGAATTCTGGGATCTTTCTGCTCTTAAATTGGTTGAATCAATTCACATTCAAGGAACAAGATTCCCATTAGAAAATAAATATCCCTTTTATGTATTAGTAGAAATTAGTGGATCAAATAAGGATCATGATGAAGAAGTAAGTCTATATATATAGATATACCTATTTACCATTTTGATTTTTAATTTTTAAATAGATTTATTAATTTTTTATAAATTTTAGAAACTTCAGAATTACTTGGAAACTTTGTTGTCACAAGAAATTGTAGAAAATGGTGTTGTTGCACAAGATGACACTCAAATCAAAAATTTTTGGACATTTAGAGAAATTATTCCAGAAGCATGTAGTAAATCAGGTGCCGTTTATAAATATGATATGTCAATGCCAGTTCCAGTTCTTTATCAGATGGTTGAAGATGTAAGAGAACGATTGTCACAAGCTGGTGTTTTTGGTGATGACAAGCCAGTAACTAATGTGATTGGTTATGGTCATATAGGCGATGGTATGTTAGTGCAAATTTTTTTAATTCATTTGATGTTATAATAATATAAAATAATAAATTTTATTATTATTATTAAATCAGGTAATTTACATTTGAATATTACTGCAAATTCTTATGATTCTCAAATTACAAATCTTATTGAACCATATGTTTACAAATGGACAGGTATTTTACATTTTTTCAATTTCTAATATTATGATGATTATGATGGTAATTATAACTTATTTTTATTTTTTTGTCAGAAAAACACAAGGGATCTATTTCAGCAGGTATGATAATAATTATTTCTGAATTCATATATAGTTTTTATATTCATATATTCACATATATATTTTAAAGAACACGGACTTGGTTTTATGAAAGCAAATTATATTGGTTATTCAAAATCTAAACCAATGATTGACACGATGAAAAAACTAAAATCTAGCATTGATCCAAATGGAATAATGAATCCTTACAAATTTTTTCCAAATTAAAAAGAAATAAACATATTTATTTTTGTAGTAAAATACTGATGTATGTATACTTTAATTTATTCTTGTATTATGTTATAGTAAACCCACTCATTATTTTATAAAATTTTATTTAAAATTTGAATATTTCAGTATCTTTAAAAAGTCATTCACAGTCAAATTTTCTGAGATCATGTTCTGATAAAGGTGGATTATATAATTGCACCTGCTTTTTTTTTGCAGCACTAATTTATAATGAATGATATAAAATTAACATCAAAATTAACAACAATATCAATAATTATTATTGTTTGACCAAGATTTTAAATACCTTTGACACTACTGCTAAGAAATAAGATTTTGGATGCACTGATCAAAGTCTCTGTAAATCTTAATGTAACCTGATTCCTAAAGTTTAGAACCAATTGGAAGCATCATAATGTCCATTAAAATGCTATATATCAATAAAATTTTTTTTAAAAAAAATACCTCTAATAAATTGCCCTTTATTTGAATAACCAAAAAATAGTTTTTATGCGGCCATACTTTCGGAAGAATAAATATAAATTTTTATACCAGCTTCTTTCCGTTTGTTTAATTCAACCAAGACATCACCATAAATTCTAGTAATAAAACACATATTTTTAAGCATCAATTTACAAAGTAATGACATTCATTTATTTGATAAATACAAACTTACAAACTCTTTAATTCACCTGAGTCATAACCAAATTTTCACATATAACCTTGAAATGATTTCAAGGGTCCAATTTTCCTATCAGCTTTCATTTGCCATTCGATATTATGAATTACAGGTTTATTACCTCGTCAGTATTTCTATTCAAAAGATTATTTATATATTTTTCTAAAAACCTTACATTATCATCATTATATAAAATAAAAAAATACTTTTCATTTTCTTCAGGAATACTTTCTTTGGTTCAGATATTCCTTCTATGTGATCTTGTTCTGCCTAATATATATCATAAATCCGAAGTGTACATAAATTAAAAAAACTTATAACAAAAGTTAACATATCTATATATGCATTAATAATTCAAAAATTTTTTTGTTTTCGTATGTAAAAACTTTTGTGACAAATGAAAACTTTTATATATTTGCTTTTAAACGCTGATATTTTGCCTATCCATTAAATTAATTATAAATTACCAGTATGCCGTGAACAAATGAAATTGGGTTAGTAGTTCCTTCAATATCTAAAACAATACAAATGGCAAAATTAATCACCAACCACTTTGTTAAATCTCCCTGACTAGGAGAGACTCCCATTTGATCTTTTCGATATTGAGAGTGTGTTGAAGAAGTGTTGTCCATTATATATGACTGGTGTCAATGATTTGTGTAGGGTAAGTGTATAGGTTCTTGAGAAGGGTGATAAAGTGGAATGAGAAGTTGAGATGCAGTTCCTGAATGAAGATCCCGAGGCTTTATTATTTAGTGTGGCCGCATTTAAAATGAAATACATGATTGTTGATACACTTAACAGCACCATGTACTTTGACACTAGTTATCTTGCCATTGATAATTTTATGGGATCATGCAACCTTAGTCTGTTGAAACATCATACACAAGTTTATGAGAATCAGTATTCATTAGTCGTTCCAACAGTGCAATATCTTCTATCATGTTCCCCCATATTGCCATCACCTCTATGAGCATGTCCTATATCAGCTGTACCATTTAACATAACTAGCAGGATAAATGATTGTGATTTTGGAAAGCAAGAGACATGATGGTTGTTACTATACATGTGGTCAAAATTATCATGACGCAATTAAAAATCAAGAAAATTGACATTGCAAGACGTAATTAGTGACTCAAGACGTAATTAGTAACACATGACTCAATTCGCGATGCAAGACGCATTCATGAAGCGAGACTAATTAGCAAGACGCAATTAGTGACTCAAATAAAATGTAGTTGTGAATCAAGACGCAGTTCGTGATGAAGACGTAAATTTTAATATAAAATTTATCATTTATTCATTCATTAGTTTGTAAAATGGATTTGAACCTTTTGATTTTCTTGTTGGTCAGTTTTAGAGGAATTTAAATTTATTATTTCAATAAACTTTCTCTCCTGAAACATCTATTGCATCCAAAATGTTGTTGACAAGGAAATTTTATATCTGTCTCATTATCATTAACATTGGATACTTCTTCCATCTTCAAGGATTATTCTTTTATCTGTAACAAGCCTGATGTCATTTCAATAAACTTTCTTAATATTAAAGCTCCTACTACTTTTCATAATGTTTACAAGAAAATTTCATATTATTTTGAGGACGCAGTGTGATCGATTCTGGTAATATTTATGCAATCATCACATTTTATTTATGTGACACATATGAAGGCCCAATTAATGCCAGTTACAAAAAATAAAATAACTTGAGTAATAAATAATAAGAATGAGTGGAATTAATAGAATTAATATTGATAATAACAACAAGAAGCTACAGTTGTCTGAAAAAGTTTTAGAACTTAGGGTAAAAAAATTTTATTTTCAAAAACTGTTAATATAATAATGTTTTACATATTAACAACTTGAAACCGAATTAACAGTTTATGCAAAGACAACAAGAAAAGGCATTACGTGAAAAGGTTGAAAGAGAACGAAACAAAGCAATTGGAGAATCACAGTGGACAGCATTATATGATGAATTGGATGTTAGGGAGCCGTAAGTTTTATGCTTTAATTTTTCCAAGTAGAAAAAATATAAATAAAAAATATAATATTTATTTTATTGATATAGTAAATATGACATAGAATATTTACCAAGTTATTTATTATGTAATAATATGGAGAGAAAAGGACGAATGTCTTTTGGACTTGATAAATTAACTGCAAAAGTAAGTAAAACCAATTTATATTTTACTTGTAAACCATTGAATTACATCTAAATTGTGATTATTTTTAGGAGCCATCATCTAAATTTCAAACATCAATAGATCGAGCAGAAGATTTTCTGGCACAATTCAGTAATAATACTAATAGCAATAGTAATATTAATAGCAATAATAGTAGTAATAATAATAATAATAATAATAATAATAATAATAATAATAATAAACGCAAATATTCACAAACTAAAGATCAATCAAAAAAGAATAAAAAATTGAATAAACAACAACAGAAACAGAAGCAAAAAGAAATCATTAATATTGATAGTGACAATGATGATGAAGATGTTTCTTTTCCTAAAAAATTAACAAAAGTTGATAACAATGAATTTAGGATTCCATCATCTATAGGATTTATGAAACCATCTGAATAGAAATAATAAAATGGGTAGCAGTGGTAATAATGTAATGTAATATGTAGGTAGGTGGCATCATTTACTATTTATTCAAGATAGGAACAATTTTAAAATAAAATAAATTTTTTATAAATTCATTTTTTGTAATTGATAACAGATGATCATTTCATGAATCAAAAAAAAAGTTTTTAACAATAAGAATGTATGCAAGAGCACTTTATAAAATAGATGATTGGTTTTGTTTTTATTTTTCATATAATTATTATTAATACTAATACTTAATAAACAATTATAAGAAAATGTCAAGGCAGCATAACTGAATGTTAAAGAGAAAACAATTCAACATGTAATGTTTGATTATTGGAAACTTTACAGATGTCAAAACACATATTTTACCTTGAACACTATACAGTCATTCTCACACATCCCCAATGATACAACATTACAATTAACTTCCAGGGGAATTGCATGACCCTGGAATTTATTGACAATGGTATTGTTATCAAGGACACACTTTTGTAAATTCTACCTGATCTTCCCTTGTAGCACCTGAGCTGGCATAATATGGATATGTGTTAGCTGAAAAGTTTCCTGAATGATCCTACTCCTAGGGTAAAGATGGCTGGTTCTGCAACCAACAATTTGTAACTCTGTTGGAAAGTTGTAATGTTAAGATTGCATATAAACATCCAGGTCCATTGAAGCAATGAAAATCTGCAACTTGTACACATTATTAAACAGCTTGTTGATCATTTAATTTTAATATAGTTTGCTTGGTCTAAAGACCTCCTAAATTTTGGGCAAATTTTAAAAGTATAGAAGTCACTTCCTGTCCTACCTTTTAAAAAAATAGCTCTATTAGTTGATAGAATATGTCTTTAGTTTTAATGTAATAGAAAGATTTTCTCAAATTTATTTGTTGTAGAGTTCTATTCTTTTTTAAAACATGTACTTTACTATGCTTGTGGGGAATTTGTCCACTATGATCATTTCTAAATTTAGGAAAATCGTCACTAAATTTAGACTAGATCTTGACTATCGTATCTAAATTTGGCAGTAAGGAAACTAAAATCACGTGAAGTCCTGTTTTTTGAAAAATTTTGAACGAATTACAAAATTGCATTTTTTTGAAATTTGGCCACATGGCGCAGCAATAGGAGGTCTTTAGACCGAGCCAACCATAGTAGGTGCCCTGTGTGACCCCCTTATGGTGTCCACGAATAAAAACCCTATGTATTCTCCAGATTGACTTTGGAACTGTCTTTTAAGAGCCCATTTGACACTTGAACTGCAACATTCTGACTTGGTGCTTTCCAACTCTTTATTTTTCTAGCTAGTATATGTGCCAATCATCTTTGAGGTCTGATAAGACTCCAAAAATGTTCCTATTATCAGAGGTAATCAAATCAGCAATAAACATTTTAAGAATAACCTGCATTATATGTTTTCTCCCCATTTTTTTTAGCTCCAAAACCACATAAATTTCCTCTGGAATTAAATGATTTGCAATATCATAGTCATTCACAATCATTACATCAGTTCCACCATGAACATTAAAGGTAGTCTGGGTCCATTTAAGTTATTGTTACCTCCAACATCATGCCAAACATGACTATTGGTCAAGGAAATGTATTTGCATAGTCATTCCAAATATTCATCTTTATGGGCCAGTTCTGACAAATACCATTAAGGGGGGTTACACACTATTAAAACAGTAAAAAATCCCTTAAAAATACAGCATGGTGGACATTCGAATGTTGCACCAATTTTTTATGCTGTGTAACGTAATTTTTAAAGTAAAAAAACAGTGTGCTCAATTAAAATGGGTATACGTTGACGCGTGACACGTCTGTAACTTTACAGAGATATTCTTTAACGTTTTTTAAATTTAATTCCAGCTGCATCCGTCG